TGAAATTCATGATGAAAAAGGAAATATCACCACAGACACTAGTGAAATACAGAAGACAATCAGAAACTACTTTGAAAATCTATACTCTAATAAAATAGAAAATCATTAAGACACCAACAAATTTCTAGAGATATATGACCTACCCAAATTGAATCAGGAAGACATAAAAAATTTAAACAGATCAATTTCCAACAATGAAAGTGAAGACATCATCAAAAGCCTTCCAACAAAGAAAAGCCCAGGACCAGAGGGCTTCTCAGCCAAGTTCTATAAACATTCAAAGAAGTATTTACACCAATACTCCTCAAATTATTCCTTGAAATACAAAAGGAGGGAATCCTTCCAAACTTCTATGAAGCTAATATCACTTTGATACCAAAACGAGACAAAGACACATCAAGAAAAGAAAACTTCAGACCAATATCCCTGATGAACATAGGTGCAAAAATTCTTAATACTGAAAAACTGCATACAAAAATATATTTAAAAGACAGTGCTAAGCTAGACCTATAGCTCAGTGGTAGAGCACTTGTCTACCATAGGTGAGGCACTGGGTTCGATCCTCAGCACCACATAAAAAGTAAATAAATAAAGTTATAAAAAAAGTTTTTTTTTAAAAAAAATATAGTGCACCATGATCAAGTGGGGTTCATTCCAGGGATGCAAGGTTGGTTCAACATACAGAAATCAATATATGTAATTCATCACATCAATAGATTTAAGGATCAGAATCACATGATTATCTCAATAGATACAGAAAAAGCATCTGACAAAGTTCAACATACATTCATGTTAAAAACACTAGAAAAACTAGGGATAGTAGGAACATACCTTGGTAAGCTATATATGCTAACCAAGACCAACATGACTGTAAATGGAGAAAAATTGAAAGCATTCCCTCTAAAAACTGGAACAAGACAGGAATGCCCTCTTTCACCACTCCTATTCAACATAGTCCTGGAAATCCTAGGCAGAGCAATTAGACAAAAGAAAGAAATTAAAAGGATTATAAATAGGAAAAAAAGAGCTCAAACTATCCCTATTTGCTGATGACATGATTCTATATTTAGAAGACCCAAAAAACTCCACCAGAAAGCTTCTAGAACTCATAAATGAGTTCAGCAAAGTAGCAGGATATAAAATTAACACCCATAAATCAGTTGTGTTTCTATACACCAAAGAAGAATCAGCTGAGTCTTCATTGGTGTATAGGAAAACTATACCATTCATAATAGCCTAAAAAAATAAAATAAAATATTTGGGAATCAATCTAACAAAAAATGAAATACTTCTACAATGAAAACTACAGAAAGAAATTAAAGAAGACCTTAGAAGATTTCCATGTTCTTCGATAGGCAGAATTAATATTGTCAAAATGGCTACACTACCAAAAGCACTATACAGATTTAATGCAATTCCTACTAAAATTCCAATGATGTTCTTAATATAACTAGCAAAAGCAGTCAGAAATTCATTTTGAAAAATAAGAGGCCCAGAATAGCCAAAGCAATACTTATCAAGAAAAATGACACAGAAGGCATCACAATATCAGACCTTAAATTATACTTCAGAGCTATAATAACAAAAACAGCATGAAATTGACACAAAAACAGATATTAAGACCAATGGAACAGATTAGAAGACACAAAGTCATACTCACATAAATATAGTTATCTCATACTAGACAAAGGCACTATAAATATACACTGGAGAAAAGATAGCCTCTTCAATAAATGGTGCTGGGAAAACTGGAAATGCATATGTACTAGGATGAAATTGAACCTCAATCTCTCATCCTGCACAAAACTCATCTCAAAATGGATCAAGCACTTAGGATTACACCAGAGACTCTGCACCTACTAGAAGAAGTGGGCTTAGAAACGAACTTCTTTAATAAGACTCCTATAGCACAAGAAATTAAATTAAGAATTAATAAGTGGGATGGACTCAAACTAAAAAGCTTCTTCTCAACAAAAGAAACAGTCAATGAGGTGGAGAGACAGCCTACATTTTGGAAGCAAGTTTTTGCCACACACACACTTCTGATAGAGCACTGAACTCAAAATACTTAACACCAGGGGCTGGGTTGTGGCTCAGTGGTAGAGTACTCACCTAGCATGCACTGGGTTCAATCCTCAGCACCATATAAATGTAAAATCAAGATACTGTGTCCACATAAAGCTAAAAACTAAATATTAAAAAATACTTAATACCAAAAAAAAAACCCAACCCAATCAATAAATGAGCTAAGGAGTTGAACAGACACTTCTCAGAAGAAGATATACATTTGATCACAAATATATGAAAAAATGTTCAACATCTATAGTAATTAGAGAAATGCAAATCAAAACTACTCTAAGCTTTCATCTCATGCCAATCAGAATAGCAGTTATCAAGAATACCTACAACAGTAAATGTTGGCAAGGATGTGGGGGAAAAGGCACACTCATACATTACTGGTGGGACTGCAAATTGGTGCAACCAATCTGGAAAGTAGTATGGAGATTCCTTAGAAAACCTGGAATGGAACCACCATTGGACCCAGCTATCCCACTCCTCAGTCTATACCCAAGGATCTTAAAATCAGCATACTATAGTAACGCAGCCACATCAATGTTTACAGCAGGTCAATTTACAATAGCTAAACTATGGAAGCAATCTAGATATCCTTCAAAAGATGACTGGATAAAGAAACCGTGGTATATATACACCATGGAGTATTACTCTGCAATAAAAGAGAAAAAAATTATGGCATTTTCAGGTAAATGGATGGAGTTGAAGAATATCATGCTAAGTGAATTAAGCGGATCAAAAAACCAAAGGCCGAATGTTCTCTCTGATAAGTGGATGCTGATCCATAATGGGGGGTGGGGGGAAATTGAGAAATTTTGATGGGGGAAAGGGGAGGGTAGAGAGGGAAGGGGAATGTGGGCAGGAAAGATGATGGAATGAAATGGTCATCATTACTGTAGGTACAAGTATGACGCAATATGACTTCTATGTACCACCATAGAAATGTAAAATTGTGCTGCAATTGTATACAATGAATCAAAATGCATTCTGGGGGCTGGTTATAGCTCAGTGGTAGAGCACGTGCCTAGTATGTGTGAGGCACTGGGTTTGATCCTCAGCACCACATAAAAATAAATAAATAAAGGTTATATATATATATATATATATATATATATATATATATATATATATATATATATATTCCTACATCTCAGGCAATTAGAGATATGTAAATCAAAACCACATTGAGATTCCATCTCACCCTAGTCACAATGGCAATTATGAAGTATCTAAGCAACAATAAATGTTGGCGAGGATGTGGGGGAAAAGGTTCACTTATACATGCTTGTGGGACTGCAAATTGGTGCAATCACTCTAGAAAGCAGTATGGAGATTCTTTAGAAAACTTGGAATGGAACTACCATCTGACTCTGTTATCCCACTCCTTGGAATATACCCTAAAGACTTAAAATCAGCATCTATGATGATGCAGCTCAGATCACAGTATGGAACCAACCTAGGTACCCTCAGACAGATGAATGGATAAAGAAAATATGGTGTATATATATATATATGTATATATATATATATACACAATGGAATATTACTTAGCCATAAAGAAGAATGAAATTATGACATTTTCATTTCATCCAGTAAATGGATGAAACTGGAGAATATCATGCTAAGTGAAATAAGCTAGTCCCCAAAAGCCAAAGACAGAATGTTCTTTCTGACATGTGGATGCTAACCCACAACAAGGAAAGGGAAGATTAGACTTGATTTTGGTCTAGACAAAGGGTAATGAAGGGAAGGGAGGGGAGATGCAAATAGGAAAGACAGTTAATCAGACATATATTTCCTAACCTTTTATATGAATACACGACCAATGCAACTCCACATCATGTACAGCCACAACAATTGGAACAAGTTATATTTATTCTATATTTGTATGTCAAAAATACTCTACTGTCAAGTAAAAAAAAACCCAAAAACTTAAAAGAGGGCTGCGAATATAGCTCAGTTGGTAGAGTGTTTGCCTTGCATGCCAAGGCCCTGGGTTCAATCCCCAGTACCACAAAAAAACACATAGCTAAAAAAAACAACCTCCAAAAAAACACTAAAAAAAAAAAAAAAAAAAAAAAAAAAAATATATATATATATATATATATATATATATATATATATATATATATACACACACACATATACATATATATGAGAGAGAGAGATAAAATCTCTACTACTGGCTAGAAAACATGATAGGCTTACAGAGGGCAGCAGCAGAATAAACCTTTTAGGAAGAAGAGATAGAGACAAACTCACACTTCATCATTTTAATCCAACCATGAGATGCAGTAACTTCCAGCAGGATCAGAGTGACAAACGGACAATTCTTTAAGAAAAATAATCAGTTCAGTAATTATAATGTATAAAAATCAGTGTAATACTAAACCCATCTAAAAGGAATATGGTAGAGAATTCAGAGTTAGAAATAATTACAGCGTTTGCCCTAGAGGACCTAGACATGAATAGTGAAAATTGAATAAATAGCTCTCGTTCCATAACAAAGATGTGTACAATATGTAATGTGGGGCTGGGATTGTGGCTCAGCGGTAGAGCGCTCGCTTGGCACGGGCGGGACCCGGGTTCGATTCTCAGCACCACATAAAAAATAAGTAAGTAAATAAATAAAGGCCTCTCCCCCGCCCCCCACCTCCCCTTTAAAAAAAAAATGTAATGTGGACCCTGGAAAGATTTGAAAATGGAATTAAAATCAATCCAACTATGAAACATACAAAAACATGTTCAGGAAGTGTCTTAATTTACATAGTGGAATTCCAATAGAAAAGCAGTTTGAGACGTTCTAAATAGAGTAAGTTCAGCCAAAAAGCGTGGTCTTGCCATACTTGACCACGCTTCAACGGCAGCGCAGGCACCTCAGCATCTGTTTCAGCGGCTCCCGCCAGAGAATTTGGGTTTAGCCGCACATGCGCAGTCAGTCAGGTCCCGCTGCCACTCGGCCCCGCCCTCAGAGACACCGAGCTCCGAGAGCCGCTGCCGTAAGGACGCTCTCGAGCGTAGTGCTGCGCAGACGCAGTCGGGGTCCGTTCGCGGACCTAGTGCCTTTTCCTGTGGCTTGGCTGTCTTCTGGTTTGTCAAGTGCCGTTGGCGTCCGTAGGTGCTGAAAATCTGGGGTCGTGGACCCCGGCCAAGACTCAGCAGCACGGAGGTGCCGGGTGTCGCCGAGGGCGCGGGGCCGGGCTCCGGAGGCGGCGTGCCCTGCCCCGGGGCCCCCGCCCCTGCTGCAGCCGCGGCCCTGGCTGCTGCCCCCATCGCGGCCCCGGCTTCTCAGTTCACTCTGCTGGTGATGCACCCATGTGGAGGGCAGGACGAGGCCTCCGCGGAGAGCGTCCTGCGGCAGGCCCCGCTCCCGTCGGGCAGCGTCGGAGTGGGACAGCCGGTTGGGTACCCGTGTGAAGTGTCAGGGGATGCTGAGGAGGACGCAGGGGAGGATGAAGCGGACCTGTTGGACACTTCGGACCCCCCAGGGGGAGGCGAGAGCACAGCCAGCTTGGAGGATCTGGAGGACGAGGAGACACACTCAGGGGGCGAGAGCTGCAGCGGGGGAACCCGGAGACGGGGCAGCGGCGGGGGCAACATGAGCAAGACTTGTACCTACGAGGGCTGCAATGAGACCACGAGCCAAGTGGCCAAACAGCGGAAGCCGTGGATGTGCAAGAAACACCGCAACAAGATGTACAAGGACAAGTACAAAAAGAAGAAAAGCGACCAGGCCCTGAATTGTGGTGGGGCCACCTCATCTGGCAGCGCGGGAAACGTCAAACTGGAGGTATTGCTGGGGTCCTGGGGAATGGGAGATGGAAGAAGAGACCCCACACTTGACGAAAACCCTTTTGCCAGGACATGCCCACCTATTCCTGGATGGGTCGAGGTTGCAGTCACATCATTTTTTGTGTGGTGCCACCCTTTTGAATTATGGTTTTTGGAATTTTAACTTTTCAGAATTATTATTTTGGGGATTTTAGACATTAGAGAACTTAGGCTTAAGTGATTTTGATCTCTTGGAAGTTCAATACTTGGAATTATGGCATTTGGGATTGTATCTTTTGGAATTGTCCTCAGCACTTACTAGAGGTAAAAAGGAGTCCTTTGACAATCTAATAAAACCTAATGAAGACTGTTTCAGAAAAACAAACAAACAAACATATACAGATGTTTAATGTTGCATACAAATTCATACAGTTCAGGATCCCTGTAGATCCTAGACCCACCTCTATTCTTGTAAAATAATATATTTTACCAGATCTTAGATTAAGCAATCATCTTACTTAGTACAGAATGGAAGTTAGTAAAAGGAATCAGGTTTGTCCCTTATATGTTCCACAGGTACCCATACACTTCAGAATTCTTTACAGAGAAAAGATAATACTCCTCTTCAAGGAAGTATTTTATCCTTGGCTGCTTTTGTTTACTTGTTTTTTGTTTTTGTTTTGAATTACCATCATTTACATCTATAGTGTGAGGGGAAATGTATAAAGGACAAATAGATAGTAAATTAGCATCTCCCAATCCATAACCCCTCCCCAAAAAGAACTTTAATAATTTCTCTGTTTTAAAATAATTTGCATGGGGCTGGGGATGTGGCTCAAGCAGTAGTGCGCTCGCCTGGCATGCGTGCGGCCCGGGTTCGATCCTCAGCACCACATACAAACAAAGATGTTGTGTCTGCCGAAAACTAAAAATAAATATTAAAAATTCTCTCTCTCTCTCTCTCTTTAAAAAAAAAAATAAAATAAAATAATTTGCATGGGTTTTGTTTTGTCTTTTTAGGGAGGAGAACTAATTACTGTAATACTAGGCCATTTGTCTTTTCTTGTGTGACACTTCCCCAGTTTTGAGGAGATTATAAAAGCTCTAAGTCTTGATCTTTGTTGAACCAAGTGTAAAGAAAATAGCCATTTAGAATATAATAAGGGCCACCATAGTACTGCTATAGTAGTTTAAGGTGGAATAGCTCATTGAAGGCTGAGATACTCTGGAAAGGCTTTGCAGAGGAAATGTGTATAGGCCAGAAAGGAGGCTGTTTCTTCTGTGCTAGGCTATAAGTGGAGTCTCACAACTCTTCATCAGTGAGGTGTAGGTTCTGTACTACATAGATGGAAACTGAATCACATGAAGGGTAAGTAATTTGGCCTAGGTCACACAGCCAGCAAGTGTTCAAACATAAGCAATCTAATTGTAGAGCTTCACTTTTATTCCCATACTGCTCCATAAAAGGAGAGTCAGAATGCTTCAGATAACTGGAACAGTATTTTGTTATGCCAGGGAAATTGTTAAGTACTTTAGATTTTCTAAGGTAACTAGAGGTATATATTTTTAGTAAGTATGCTGATTTTGTTTAGATTTTGATATTTGAGGGTAATGGCATCATTATAGGACTTACTGGTTTTATTTATATCAGTGGCAAGAAACTATTTATGCCAGTACTCTCTAATACTTTCAAACCAATTTATTTTTTTCCCTCTAGTGACTCCTACTGAATTCTGAAAGCTGTTTATCATTTGCTTGTTTAAGCAATGTTTTACTGCCTCACCCTTATTTTGGTTATAAATTGGGCTAAAAACTATCCAGTGTCTCATTAGCAGTGTAAAATTGCCTCTGAGTTCATATATTTCATTCAAAGGCAGGCAGACTCTGTATCTTGGCCCAGATAGCTCCATATGAGGAGAATGTTCAATTCCGCTTGACATTTTTTATAACAATGAAGATAGCTCTGAAGTAACTCATCACCCTCCTACCCCAACTTTTCCCCCTTCAACATGCAGAAGAATCCAGGTTGAAATCCTGGAGGGGAAGAACTGAGGAGATATAGTTAACTTCCATAGCACCTCTCCTATGACAATGAGAGGCTTTCCCAAAGTTTCACAGGAACTGGGCAAAAGGAAGAGAAGCAAAGATCAGTTCATTACATCTCTGAAATGCTTACCATTGTGGGTTATTATGCTGTTAACTATTAATATTGTTTGTTTTTATCATATCCCAGGAAAGTCCAGACAATATACTCTCTATTGTCAAACAAAGAACAGGATCTTTTGGGGATCGTCCTGCAAGACCTACTCTTTTAGAACAAGTGTTAAATCAGAAAAGACTGGTAAGAATCAGCTTGTGTAGTAGCTGCAAATCTATTAATGAAAGTTGTTTGTTGTAAGTGGAACTGTTTTAGTGTTTGAGATTTTAAAACTTGTTAACCGGCTACCAAAATTGTATTTTGTCACTTGCCAGCACACATTGAATCTCATAGATGCCGTGAGGACTGTAAGAGCAGGAATACTTTTTAATTCTGTTTCTTCAATGACTAAACTTTGACTATCTGAGAAAGATAGAATTCTAAAAGAGACTTTCCTTGTTTTCTGAGGTTTATGGAATAATGCTTTAATGTTGAAGTATGATTAAGCCAATATTTAATACAGATCTCTATTGCAAATTTGATAGAAGGAATCAGAAGTAAATAGTAAAGGATCGAGTGTTCACTAATTATTGGAATATTAGTAATTTGAGGTCATAAAAGAACATACCCACCCACTGTACACCAAATTCCTGAGTCTTAAAATTTTTAAAAAATAGAATTGTGATTTTATCTAAAAAATTTGGAAGTAGGTGTTTCTAGCTTAAAAGACAAAATAACAAAAAAGATTATAAATTTGATCCATAAAAGTGAATGTTGTAGTCAAAAACAGTAAAAATCAAAATGCAAAGTAACAAAGGGAAAAAAATAATTGCCACAAATATAAAAGTCTGTGGTTAATATGGTTGAGATCTTTTCTTTTTCTTTTTCTTTTTTTTTTTTGAGATAGCATTGTTGTTGTGTTACTCTGGCTGGTCTCAAACTCCTGAACTTAGGCTCAAGCAGTCCTTTTATCTCAGCCTACCAAGTAGCTGGGATTGTAGGCATATCCCACCCTGCCTGGCAAAAACATTCACATAATTTGATGAGGAAAAACCTTTAGCCTCAATACACTGCAAAAGATAAAAAACAAAAGTATTACTATTAAATGGAATGGAAAGGTAGTCAATATCAATAAAATGAAACAGTAAACAGTAAGTGAAAATTATTTAATAATTGCACACAATAATGGTGAAGATTTCATGAAATGGGCACTGACATTCTGTTGTCCTATGTTGGTATAGCAGTTTTACAAAGCAGTCAAGCAATATATATCAGGAGTCTAAAATGGTCACCTCTTGACTCAAATCAAAACTAATATGAACATTTTTGCAAAAAGTAAATTCTAAATATGGATAAAGTTAAGTGTAAGGAGAATGCCGGAAATGTATTTATCACAAGTAGTAAAATAATAGTCAAAAAACAATTTAAATGTCCAGAAGTATCATAACAGCTTAGTAGATAATTGTACATTTACTTAATAAGATTTTGGACTATCTTTACAAATACTTTTTAAATCAAACTATTCAATAAAAAGTAATACAAAATAATTCATAAAATGTGAAAATATTTAATGATAATATTCCCACTTTATTTGGTTTTTCTTTTTTAACTTTTTGGGGCCAAAATCATATCAGATTTTATTATTAGTTTGCAGCTTGATTGCAGTCCATCAGCTATAACAATGAGTTTGATTAAGGCATGTTTAATTTTGTAAACATAGTGTATGTTGTGTAGGGACACATCAGAATAATTCTATAGCATGAATACAATCTGACCACATAAGAGTAACATTCTTAATAATTTTTTTTTTCTTTTTTTTCTTTAAGTCATTACTAAGAAGTCCAGAAGTAGTGCAGTTTTTGCAGAAGCAGCAGCAGCTATTAAATCAGCAAGTTTTGGAGCAAAGACAGCAGCAGTTTCCAGGAGCATCTGTGTGAGGAAACTTATCAGGATCCTCAACATGTTTTTCTCTTACTGTAATAGATGAACATATTTTTATACTAAAGATAATTGGGTAAGATATGCCAGTAGAATATAAACATTTTCCTGTAAATGTATGTGTGCATTTTGGGATAAATAAGTACTGCACTTTTTGCATCCTTTCAGATGAACATGAGTTTGAAAATATCAGTTTATCTCCCCAGAGTAGCATTTAATCAAAAGTTTTTCTAAAAGTATGTTCCACTTCAGTCATTGTTACTGAAGATAATGAAGCCAGTTACTTTCTGTGCAAGTCATGAAGTTATCAGGTAATAATCTTGGAATATCTAACTCTGTGGTTCTCATCAAAAGGTAGTTGGACATATGTTTTTTAGGTTGTCATAGTGGACTTAAATTGCTGGTTTTTAGTGAGTGGGCCAAGAATGCTGAATGTTTTGCAGTGTCTGGATAGTCCCACACAACTAAAAATTATCTTACCAGCAATGCTAATGATGTTTCTCTTAAGAAACACTTAAGATAGCTAGTTGTAAAGATATGATGTAGTTAGAGCACCTAGAATTGGGTTCTGACAATAATCTTTCTTTGCAGTTAAGATTGGAGCTGACAGAGAGGTAAGCATGTTTTATACGTCTAAGGAAAGTTATCATTGATCATTATTTGTCTGTGCGATTAAGAGATATGCTGGTGGGCTGGGGTTGTGGCTCAGCGGTAGAACACTTGCCTAGCACGTGCAAGGCCCTGGGTTCGATCCTCAGCACCACATAAAAATACATAAACAAAATAACGGTATTGTGTACAACTAAAAAATAAACATTAAAAAAAAAAAAAAAAGAGATGTGCTGGTAAAACCTACATGAAAGATTCAAGTATGCCAGAATGAATGCATCTCCTAAAGTTCGCTTCTCACTTTTCTGTTACCTATTAGTGTTGCTCTCCCATTAGACAAGACCCTTTTATGAAATGGAAAGGTAGTACAGATACAGTAGGGGCTGGGGATGTGGCTCAAATGGTAGTGCACTCGCCTGGCACGTGTGAGGCACTGGGTTCAATCCTCAGCATCACATAAAAATAAAAGATATTGTCTCCACCCAAAACTAAAAAATAAATAAAAATTTTAAAAAATTGTTTTTAAAAAAGTGATACAGTACACAGTAAGTGAAAGTTATTTAATAACTTATGTGTTGAATTTATGAATAGTATAGATATATCTCAACCCAATGCCGGGACAAACAAATCTTAATATTTATTTTTCATTAAGAAAATGAAAAAAGAGATTCTTTTCAAAAAGAAGAATCTAAAAATAACAGCACTTCAACATTTCATCAATGGTTTTTGATGTTTAGCTATTTTAACACTGTGTTTTTTAAGACTGTGTTATTCCTAAGTACTATTAAAGAATGATGGGTAATCTGAACACTTTTTTTTTTTTTGTATTTTCTCCTAGGAAAACTTTGAAAAGGCAAAGCTACCAATAAAAATAACAAATCAAATATCAAGAGATATTAGAATAATAAATATATGTGTCCCAAGATGAACTTGCAAAAATTTGTTAGTTTCTTGTTTTTTAACTCTGAGATATATATTATGTTAAAGTTAGTCATAGCTGTTCTAAGAAGCACTTATGGGGAGAAAGAATGTTTTTCTTCATTTTTATGTATGTTTTCTACTTAAATATCTGCAGAAACACTTTTGCCAAAATTATATCATTAAAGTTCAGTTGTTGACCTTTTCAGTTGTCTTATTTGTCTATTTTCTTTAATTGTTTCACATTGGTTTTTTATGCAGAGAAATATACTTCCTATTTGTTATTGTACTGACACTATTGGGAGCTCTATTGAATCCTTAGAGCTTAAGTTAATTTTTATGGTGGAACAAAAAAATCAGCTTTTGCTTCTTCAGATGGAATAAGAGGAACAGGAAAGGAGGAAAAGTAATAGACCAGTGAAAGCTGAGTGAAAAAGGATGAAATATATGTAGTGAGTAGAGCTTTGAGATGATTACTGTTGTTAAACCCTAATGAAGTTCATTGAATGGCTCGGAATCTTCATCCTAGGATATATTTTAGAATAAAGTAGCTGTCCCTTTACTATTTTGAATTAAGAATAGGCAGTTTTCGGATACAATTTAGTTTTGTTGCCTACCACATTGAAAAATTTTTTCCTTTAAAACTATGAAACTGATAAAAGTGAAACTATGAAAGTGATAAAGTTTTTTCTTCTTTGGGATAAATTTATTTAGTCCCCAGTTTTGTGTCCTTCTGTGTACTCATGACTTTGCAGCTCCTGCCACCAAGACTGAATTTATTTTCCTACCCCTTAAATCTAGAAGACTGACCTATGATTTGTTTTGACCAAGTTAATTCAGACTAAATAACAGTGAACCAGCCACAAGTAGACTTCTTAAGGTTTTAAACACTTCCACCTATTTTTTTAGATTTCTATCCAACAACTAGGGTAATAGCCTGACCCGCAAGACAGCTTACTGCAAATAAGTTTGATGCATCCAAGATCAGCCAAGCCTAGCTCAGATTTGCAGAATGATCCTATTGACCTGTAGATTATGAAGCAATAATAAATCCTAAAAATTGTAGGGGACATAATTCTAGGATGGTTTATTAACACAGCATTCATGTTACAGTTGGTAATCCATACACTTTATTGTTACAGTTATTGCTACATAGCAAGTCACTAAAAAATATGGTGGCTTAAAACAGTAACATTATTTCTAATAGATCTTAATATGATTACTATGATTTTAAGTGATTTTGCCCATGCTTTGGGGCTAGGAATGCCAGGTACAAGGCTCCTTCACACCTGCTCTTATTCAGTGTAACCCATTAAGAACTGGATTTTATTTTTTCACCTCCTTGAATCTGTGCATACCCTATGATGATTGTTAACAGAATGTGGCAGGAGTGATGCTGTGCCAGCTTCATATTAGATTAAAAGAAATTTTATAAGTATGGATGTGTATACTTGTAATAAAAACAAAGGAATAGGATGGAGTTGTAGCTTAGTGGTAGAGTGCTTGCCTAGTAGCATGTGTGAGGCGCTGAATTTGATTCTCAGCATGGCATATAAATAAGATTCATTGGCAACTAAAAAAAAATAGTTAAAAAACATAGAGGAGTTCACAACTTCCATTTTCCAGCAAAGTTGGGAGAGAAATAATCTGTTAATATGGGCAACAGGAAATGGTAAAGGACTTTATAGAAAAAATGTTCAGTAGCTACATTAAAGCCAATGAGAGAGGTAACCAGCAGCTGGTAGCCTGCTTTAATGGTAGTGCACTTTTGGTTGGAAATGAAGCCCTGCAACAATAATATATAAAATACAATTCTCACATTAATATCATGCCAAAGAATCCAGACACAAATAATGTGTGCATGATTCCACTTAATAAAATAGAAATGCAGGTGCAACTGTGCTCTGAGATCACAGACAGTGGTTCCACATGGCAGGAGGCTTCCAGCATTCTGGTGCTACTCTGTTGTTCGCATTCTGTTTATGCATTCACATTCAATTAGTGAAAGTCCAGTCGTTTATGTATTTATGGTTTTTACCTTTGCAGTATATGTTTTGAACTTCAATTTTTTAAATAGTTGTTGGTTTAAAGATATTCTCAGTGGTCCTTGCAGCTGGATGTGGCATGAATAAATTCTGGCCAGTGGAATATTGAGCAATAGCCATGAGTACAACTTCCAGATAGTACCTTTAAAAAGAGAGAAAGCAACCAGTTTCCCCTCTTCCTCCATCCTGCTGCCTGGAATGTGGACAAAGCAGTAGATCATCCATGGGCCAAAATGGTCACTCACTGGGGAAAGTGAAATAAGATAAAAGGAAACTGTGTGCTTGGATGGCCTCAGGGAACAGAATCACAGCCCTAGCCTGGGATGTTTTGGGACTACTTACTTGAAAGAAAAATGGAATGTATTGTTCTTCCCACCCATGGTCATTTTTTTTTCCCCTTTAGTTTTTATTGTTGGTTGTTCAAAACATTACATAGTTCTTGACATATCATATTTCACACTTTGATTCAAGTGGGTTATGAACTCCCATTTTTACCCCGTATACAGATTGCAGCATCACATCGGTTACACATCCACTGTTTTACATATTGCTATACTAGTGTCTGTTGTATTCTGCTGCCTTTCCTATCCTCTACTATCCCCCATCCCCTCCCCTCCCATCTTCTCTCTCTACCCCCTCTACTGTAATTCATTTCTCCCCCTTGTTTTTTTTTCCCCTTTCCCCTCACTTCCTCTTGTATGTAATTTTGTATAACCATGAGGGTCTCCTTCCATTTCCATGCAATTTCCCTTCTCTTTCCTTTTCCCTCCCACCTCTCACCCCTGTTTAATGTTAATCTTCTCATGCTCTTCCTCCCAACTCTGTTCTTAGTTACTCTCCTTATATCAAAGAAAACATTTGGCATTTGTTTTTTAGGGATTGGCTAGCTTCACTTAGCATAATCTGTTCTAATGCCATCCATTTCCCTGCAAATTCTACGATTTTGTCATTTTTTAATGCAGAGTAATACTCCATTGTGTATAAATGCCACATTTTTTTTATCCATTCGTCTATTGAAGGGCATCTAGGTTGGTTCCACAGTCTTGCTATTGTGAATTGTGCTGCTATGAACATCAATGTAGCAGTGTCCCTGTAGCATGCTCTTTTCAGGTCTTTAGGGAATAGACTGAGAAGAGGAATAGCTGGGTCAAATGGTGGTTCCATTCCCAGCTTTCCAAGAAATCTCCATACTGCTTTCCAAATTGGCTGTACCAATTTGCAGTCCCACCAGCAATGTACAAGTGTACCCTTTTCCCCACATCCTCGCCAGCACTTGTTGTTTGACTTCATAATGGCTGCCAATCTTACTGGAGTGAGATGGTATCTTAGGGTGGTTTTGATTTGCATTTCTCTGACTGCTAGAGATGGTGAGCATTTTTTCATGTACTTATTGATTGATTGTATGTCCTCCTCTGAGAAGTGTCTGTTCAGGTCCTTGGCCCATTTGTTGATTGGGTTATTTGTTTTCTTATTGTTTAATTTTTTGAGTTCTTTGTATACTCTGGATATTAGGGCTCTATCTGAAGTGTGAGGAGTAAAGATTTGTTCCCAGGATGTAGGCTCCCTATTTACCTCTCTTATTGTTTCTTTTGCTGAGAAAAAAACTTTTTAGTTTGAGTAAGTCCCATTTGTTGATTCTAGTTATTAACACCCATGGTCATTTTAATGTCTATCATAATTGTTGTTAGTATAGCCAGCCAAATTTGTACCCCAAATAATATTGTAGGTAAAAGAAGTGGCAAGTGGCATTAAAGACTTGGATTCCTGGGAGCCATAAATTTGTCATGGTAATATTATTTGACAAGACTTACCCAGCCGTGATAGTAGAAAAGATAAATTATAGGTTTGATCTAGAGTTCAATTAGTTGACAGAGAGGATGAGGGTGTTAGGGTGTTTTTAACAGTACTTAATAGGAGTTGAGAGTTCAGGCTGAGCAGAGAATGAATGAGACCCACAGGGACTAAAGGTTTCTGTGATGTTGCAGTGCAAGTGTAGGAAGAGAGAGGATAAAAGAGATTTTTAAGGAAACTATGGGCTTGAAGGTACAGTAAATAGTACTCATTACAATAAATTAATGGCTACCCCAATTTTTATTATACTTTATACCAAAGTATATCAATTAAGTTGGCCCTTTGCTCAACTAAAGACCCTTCCTAGTCTGCTTCCG